GCAAAAGAAGACTAAAAATTATTTATTATAACAAATTTTATTTGTTTGTTTTTTTTTTACTTACTAGTCGAGCAAGTTCAGATTTTTCTTCTTCAACACCTTGTTTATAAAGTGGAATTGGATTGAGTGCTGCCTAAATATATTTTCAAAGAATAATTAATTAAGAATAAAAATCAATTAAACTTTCATACATTTAAATCTCCACGCATTTTTTTTTGTTGATGTTTGCTTTTCGTATATATCTTAAAAAAGAAAAATACCAATGATATAATATTAGTTCCTATGGAATCCAAATTTGACCGAAATGGATGAATGTGTTTCTATATATACATATACATACACAATAAGTAGTGTGACATCTATCGACCAACAAACATGTCTATTACTTAGCAACAGTTGATCATAATTCATGTTCGATGAGTTCTGTTTTATTTTTGAGATGAAATATAGATTAAGTATTTAATGGCTGAAGCAAATCTTAATTATCAAATAATTAAAACAACACATGCAGCACGTGAAGCTGTAAGAGAAATAAATAGAGAGAGAGAAATAAAAATGTTTTAATAATTAAATATGATTTAGGATGATCAAAGAATTGAAAATCGGAAGAAAAATTTAATTATACTTATTCTTCAATGGCTTGTTGATGAAGGGTAAATTTCATTTTATTTTATTTTATTTGTATTTTGAAAATTAATTTTTTTTTTTATTAATTTAAGTTATATTGAATCTGCAAGACAATTAGAATGTGAAACAAATCTTGATGTTAGTAAATATGATGTTTGTGATAATATTGACTTATATACAATTATTCAAGAATATGAGTTAGTTTTTAAAAAACAAACAAAAGAGAATTTTTTTTTTTGTTAAACTTTTATTATTAGATCTTATTTTTATGTTAAATTTAATCGATATCCAAAATTAACGAAAAAACATGGACCATCGAGTAAGTTGTTATTTAGTTTTAATTTGATTTTATGAGGAAATATTTCAAATGTTTGGTAACATTGGTTTTATGAATTATGTTAGAATATTGATATTTATCACAAGGAGGTCTCGGTAAGACAAGAAAAAATTTAAAAGCATTCGTGCCTATGGGGACGAGTTATGACCGCTTTACTGAATTTTCGATCCGGATTTAGGTATTTATCAAAAAATCAAATAACAGAATTTCGGTGTGAAATTTAATCCATGGACAGTTATCCTGAGTCTACGAATATCTTGAAATTTTTAGCCGAAAAGTATATTCCTTTGTCGAGATATTGAATTTTAAAGTAAACTCAGTTTTTGTGACAAACGATCATTTGTTGAAAATTCAATATCTTGACAAAAGAACATTTCTTCCGTCTAAAATTTTGAGAATATTCCAGAACTCATAAGACCTATCTATGAGCACAATTTCGTTATTTGATTTTTTCGGTAAATATCTAAAGTTTTAGTAAAACGGTTATCACTCGGTCCCAGAGGCCCATGAACACGGACTCTTTGAAAATTTTTCTAGTCTTATCGAGACTTCATTGTGAATCCAATATGAGCTCAAACGAGGGGTATCAATTCGAGCAGTTCAATCGGCAGATAGTGTAAAAGGGTAGTGAAATAATCTTTTGAAAGGACTAAAAAATTAATTTGGATAGAAAATTTTTGTATTTTCACTATTGTGGTTCGAAAGTAAAAGTTGGAATCTTTATTTATATATCAGCTTGTAGATCAGAAGCTACTCTACAAACTACGCTATTTCAAAGTTTTTTGTTGTTCGATAAGGTATTTTAATTTTTCTTTTTCCTAAATACTCATTTTTGAAAAATCAAGAATCATTTTACTTTGAAAAGAGTTCTAGAAAAACTTGGATAAAAGCTACAGCTTAATTCAATATCATATTTTGTAGAGAAGTGTTTACTCTATAAAACGATTGACTTCGATAATTTTTAGGATGTTTTGCAAAAAGAACTTATAGAATAAATAAAAACATCTTGGCTCATCATTAAAAAATAATTTTTCAAATGTTTTAAGAAGTTTCTCACTACTTTTGAACAAAAATAGACACAAAATTTCTAAACCCATATTCAAAAAAGCACAAAAATTTTGGTTCTAACTGATAGACTTTAATACTTTCTAGTGAGTGAAAAGTGAACAAACATTTTATCTAAAAACTTTCCAATCACCGGTTACAAGAATGTATCACAAGTTTTTCCACAAAATATTAAGCAGATATATTAGATAAATAATACTACGACGCTCTAATATATCCAATTTTCAAAAGTTGCTTTTCTCAAAACATTTTAGTATTGTTTTTTTTTTGTAGCTTTGTATAAATATAACAACATGATCGAGCACGCTTAGCAGTATAACTAAGTGCTTTTTTTCTCGTGATATACATTGAAGTTTGTTTCAATCAAGTTTTTTTTCTGTGACGCAAATGTTACTTCATTAGAACTGAACTAAAGACGCGTAAAATTTTGCTTGTTCTGCGTAATGCACTCGAATAAAGACGCCTATTCAAATTCCGGCATTACAATCTGATGCATTATTCATTTCTCTTGAAATTGAAATAAAGTGGCGTTATATGGACTCATTTTTTCTTCTTCAATTAATGCAAATCTATTTTTAGAATCTCAAAATCGTTTTTCTTGTAAAGTTTGGAAAATCCAAGTACTGCAAGACTACTATCTTTTTTTTTGTTCATTAGTTTAAAACTCCAACAATTAGACTTAAACAAATCGGTTTTTTTTTAATTTGTGAGGGTTGGCCAAATTGAAGTCTTGCAATATTATTTATCGAATTTTGTTTTTTGCTTAATATTTTGTAGCAAAACTAAATTGTGAATCTCGTTAAAAACAAAGATTAAGGCATGACGTTATTGAGAAAATACGTAGACGGACATTTATTCTGATGCACTCGTTACGTTTCATTTTCTTTCTCGTACAATTTAGCAAGTAAAAGACTCAAGCTTTCAGAAATATTTTTCTTCTATTTAAAACACAGTAATAAGTTATTGTAAAGTTATTTGACAAAATATTCATTCATCTTTCAGTCTCTTAAAGAAGACAACAGAAGTTTGAAAATATTGGTTTAGAATAATAATAATATAGGTTGAAAACTGACATTTTTTGTATTAATAATCTTCTTTACTGCTTATGTTCGTTTTGTTTTTGCATAGAATTGAAAGTGGAATTGCTCTCTACAAAATGATATATAATAATCATTCACAAACGACTGAACTCACTTTACAAGTCTGCTTTTTATAGAAATCGAGAAAATTAATTAAATTGGCATGACGTACTTTAATAAAATACTCACTGTTGACAAATGACATACAGTAAACAAATCATTAGTATACTATGTAATAGAAAAATGTTTATTCTTCCATCTGCTGTATTTGAAATAACATTTGCTTCTACTTTGAGTAATTTTTAACATGCGGAAGTTTGTACAAATTTAATTCATGGATCTCTTAACAATTAACTCATAATTTCTAAAGCACAAATCCTAGAGAAATTTTGATTCTAATTTTTGCAGACTCGATTAATAGGCAGAAAAATGAATGAACTTGTTGTTTTTCAAATTACTTTTCGATCAACTGTTAATGGAAAAACATCTACTTCATATGATGAACAATGAAAATGTTCAAAACATTATTCTTCGATATATTAAAATATATTTAATAACATACCTCTTGATAATTTCCAAGGGTGTGAGTGTTTTTCATCGGCACAGTGAATAGCCATGAGCGAAGAAGAAAACTCATTTAATTTCATCTCATCAAGATTTATGTTTGATAAAAAAAAAAAGTGAAATATTAATTTTTTTCTTTTTCGTTTTACAAACTTGTCTTTGTAATGACTTACAATTGTTTTTTGAACAAAAGAAATCAATTATTTCTTTTTGTAAAAGAATGATATTGATATTTTTACATATTTTCAATGTAGAAAAATTCAAAGCTTAATAGGGTTTGTAATACAAACAAACTATCAATCTCAAAGAAAAAAGAAACCGATCAGATATTTCGAAAAGTTCTTGTATCAAAGAAAAACATTCTTTTTTTTTCGCTATCACAAATGTAACCATTAATTTTTATACTTAATTTTCTTTTCAAATATTTAGCTGCAGCATTTATGAATAAAATATCTTCAAAAATATCTAAGTAAGACATGTCTCTTGTTCCTTGCATAGTTTCTTTTTTTTTTCGAAATGAAAATCTTCTAGTGCGCAACCATCTAATCGTCGTCCACAAATACCACCAATACCTCGTATTATTAGTAATGGTACAGAATCTTCTACTAGTCCTTTGAATCGTTTACCATCGGCTGGTGAAGCTCTTCGACGAAATGCAAGTACTGGTAGAGTTAATCAATCAAATTCCGATAAATTTAGTGCACATTCAACACCACCATCAGGCTTACAACGACAAAGTTCTACAGTGAATAGATATTTTTGAAATAAAAAAAAAAAAAAAATACACGTTTGTTTTATTTTTCTTGTCTAGCAACCATCAGTAAATAATAGTAATAATCATTCAACGAATTCACTTGAAGAAATGAATCTTTCATTTATGAAAGTTTTACCAGTTAAATCATCAGCAAATGAACAACAACAACAACAACAACAACAACAACAACAAAATGGAAATAAGAAAAAAGTAATTAGATAGATTTAAACTTATTTATATACTTGTTAAGAATTCATGCGTAAGATTTTCATGATAGTTTATTTTGAGCTAATTCTAAAAAGTCGGATTACTGTGAGAGGAACATTAAGACTACTTACGTTTCTTTCCTGTCTTAAAAATTTTAAAGAAAGCAAAAGGACTGCCCACTTACTTCCGTCACACTGATTAATAATAGCTTATTTCTTTTTTTTGACAAGGACATCTTGTTCCTCAACAATACGGAAAAAAAGAACTAAGTACCTGAATTTCTTACACGAAAAAAGAAATTAAATATTTGAAATATTTTCTTATTATAAACACTGAATTTTTAACAACTAAAAACTCAAATTTGATAAAATACAATTATATTAATTTCTAGAATACAATAGTCGATTCACGTCCTATTCTCAATGATACAATGCGTGTAAATGTTGCAGACAGTATTGATCCAACTGTATAAATATTTTTTAAAATTACTCTTAAGAAAAGATATACAATCATTTTATTTTTTTATTTATCCAGGATCGTCTATTAAAACCATTAGGTGGTTATATTGGTTACAGTTCTGAATGGCGTGAATTAGCTCAAGTAATTAGTCGAGTAAGTCAAACAAGATAAATTACTTTTTTCCTTGTTTTTTTATAAAAAAAAAAGAAAAAAAAAAACTTTCTGTTTCATCTTTGTCTCATATTTCATCACATATCTCTCGTACTCATCATTTGTCTGTCCAATCTAGTATAGTTACAAGCACGAAACACAAAAAAAAAAATAATAATAACAAAACAAAAAGAAAAAAAACGGCGAAGTTTTTACGCACATATCGCGTGTCCAAAATAAGAAACACAAAAAACAGAGAGAGAGAGAGAAACACCACTGCGTAAGAAGAAAAAACCACAAGAGAAAAAAAGATTGTGCATGGAACAAAAAAAAATATATATATATATAGATATGTATATACCGTTTTTTTTGGTCTTCTTTTGTTTCGTTCTCATCATCATTCTTCAAACTCTTGGAGACAACACAAACAAAAAAAAAACAACAACAACAACAACAAAAAATAATAATCATGAAAATTGTTTGTTTATTTTACACAAAGTCTTGTCTTTTTGTTTCTTTTTTACATTTCGGTTTTAATCCGATCTGATGTCGAGATTGTTGATGGTAAAATATTAACATTTGGTGTAACAAAATCACCTTCATTAGCACTACCTGACGGTGAATGTGATGAAGGTGGTACAACTGCTGCTGTTGGTTGAAGTAATTGGGAATGATGATGATGATGTTGTTGTTGTTGAACATGTTGCTGCTGTTGTTGTTGTTGTAATGATATATCTGTTGTTGAAGATGATAATGTAACTGTTGCTGGTCTTAAAACTGGTAACATTTTAAATAATGCTTCATATGGTGATCGTTTTAATTCATTATTTATATTGGAATTTAATGTTAATTGAACAAATTTTAATCCATATGACCAACGTGGATTATTATTAACAAACATCCATGCTGCTATCATTGAACGAATTTGTTCATTACGTTGTTTAGCTGTTTCACGCCATTGAGAAGAATCATCTTGATAAAGACGAATACCTTTATAAAAAAAAAAAAAAAAAGAATAAAAATAAACAATAATTAATTGATGTTTTTTGTATTTTCTTTGAAAGAAATTACTTACCTGGCCATACAGCTTCAAGTGTTTGTTGTATTGCAGAATTTTCAATATGAAGATCTGCACTAGATTGTAAAACAAGTGGTGGACCAAATATACAAAAAATATCCATTAATGTTGTACCTAATTCAATAGATGATTTAGTTTTTAATGGACGTAATTGTGTAAATTTTGTTAAATAATCTTGATAAACAAGAACAAAACCATAATCACCATCGTGAGCATTTTGTAAATCAATTAAATCATATTCGCATAAACGATTCATGACATGTGTATTTGCTAAAAATAATTATAGAAATTAAATTTTATAGATATTTTTATTTAAGAATTTAATAAAAACAATTGAAAATTTAGTAATATTCAATAGAGACTTTGTTTCTAATGAGCATAGCGGTGAAGGAAAGCAGTACTTCCTCGAAGCTCTCACAGGTCCCAGAGGAATTTATAATAATTACACTACATATTATATATATACATAAATATGCACTTTCAAAAAAGAATATCTCTCCGGAAAAGGAAACCTGGATTCAGCATTTCATTATATTTATATACATTTTTTTTTCTTGACTTACTTCCATCAAAAATATTCTCTACTGGTTGTTGTTGATGAAGATTAGTATTTGTATTATTGTGTAAAACAATAGGTGATGATTGTGTAACAATATGTTGTTGCTGTTGTTCATGTTTAATAATATTTGTTTGTTGTAATGTTGGAATATCATGTATTATATTTGTTAAACTTGTATCCATTAAATCATTTGTATCATTATGATTAATATTATCATTATTATTATCTGTATTAATACGTTTTCGTCTTTTACAACAATAATCACACATTTTTAAATATGTTTGTATAACTTCACGTGGAATATTTGCATATTGTTTTGATAATATTGGCCATAAACGATCACGACCACCATGATTCATTTTTTTATGTGTATAATCAATAATATCATACATTTCTTCAATTGATACAAAAAATCTTATATCTTTCTCATCATTATCTGTACGTGCAGCTACAAGTCGTTGTTTTCCTTGTACATCAACAATATCAAAACGTTTTATACGACGATAATCTTTAGCTGTACGATCACCTGGTTCTTTTTCTTTAGCTTGAATTGATTCACTTAAAATTTGTTCAAGACGATCTTGTGAATAGACACTACGACGTGTTGCTATTGTTTTAACAAATATATCACGTTTGCTTGTCATTATTTTAACTAGAATATATAAAGAGGGTATATTTTGAAGTTAATTTTGTTTTTTTTTTTTTTTTCATTATTTTCTTGTTTGTTTTTTTCTTTATTTTTCTTTTTATTATTTTTATACAATTCTTTTATAAACTAACAAATTAATCGAACACATGTCTCGACATCAATGAAGGAAAATCTCGATAACCAATACATGCTTCTTGCTTACTTCTTTTCTTTCTGTTTTTTTTCTGATGATTTTGCGGCTGTTGTTATTGTTGTCGTACAATATACAAGAACGTAAACTAGAGGGCAAACATGCCGCGTCGAGTTTGGTTAGGATATGAGCGCTTTCGACGGACGAGAAAAGAAGAAGAGAACAGAATGACTATATGTTACCCCTAATCGGACGTCTATTTTTTTCTCTCGTTTTTTTCTCTCTCTCTCTCTCTCTCTTTCTCTTTCTCTTTTTTCTCTTTCTCCGAGTTCTTTTCTTTTTTTATTTATGGCCGTTTACATCCAACGAACGAGCGTATTTGTCAGTTCTTTTTTTCCTCTTCATTTTCCGCGTTCGGATGAATGACGTGTATGGAAAAGAAAGAAAAACGAGATGTGTTTTATTGTTTGCCAGTTGTTCACACCTTAAAGGCAAAAGCTTCTTTTTTTTTTCTTCTTCTTCTTTTTTGTATGAACGCAACCAAGGATGACGCTAATATATGATTTCTTATTTATAGAGATAGAAAAAAAAAAAAGAATAAAAAAAGGAAGATTTATTATATTTAATTAGAATAGTTTCTTTTGAGATTATGAACATGTTTCTCTTTTTTTTTTATTCACAATTGAAGAGGATGTAATTAGAGAAACAAAAAAAAACGAAGAGTATACGAGTATTAAGGTCAAAACAGAATTTTCCCCAGAGGCATGTCACACAATCGACACAATGATCTGCTTGGAATCTATAAGCAGATAGACCAATGAAAACAAGTCGTATATTAATTATGAAAAAAAGCATTCATATTAAAGGATAAAAATTGTAATAATTCAACATATCAAAACGAAATAATACAACATTTTCTACATTATTGCTCAATTTATATAAATAGAAATGCAAAAAATTTTGATAGAAACATAATAACAAAACTCAAATATTTGTTTGGTTTTTTGTTTCGAGGATATCTATCTTCATGATCCAAGTGTATGTTGGGATTCTATTATTGGACTTGATGCAGCTAAACGTACAGTAAAAGAAGCCGTTGTTTATCCAATACGAGTATGAATAAATAGTAAAGTAAGAAAAAGAAAATAAACGAATGTATTCTATTATTATATTAGTATCCACAATTATTTACTGGTATATTATCACCATGGAAAGCTTTACTTTTATACGGTCCACCTGGCACAGGAAAAACCTTATTAGCTAAAGCTGTAGCAACAGAATGTAAAACAACATTTTTTAATATATCAGCCTCAACTATAGTTAGTAAATGGCGTGGTGACTCAGAAAAACTTGTACGTGTTTTATTTGAATTAGCACGGTTTCATGCACCATCAACAATTTTTTTGGATGAACTCGATGCAATAATGAGTCAACGTGGGAGTGGTGGTAATGCAGGCTCGTATGTAAACGATGAATATATATGATTATGGTTTTTGTTATTTCTACTTGAAAATTTTTAATTAATTTATTTGATAGTGAACATGAAGGTAGTCGACGAATGAAAACAGAATTACTTGTTCAACTTGACGGATTAGCTAAAACTGATGATCTTGTTTTTCTTCTTGCTGCATCTAATTTACCTTGGTGAGAAGAGTTTTTTTTTTGTCCTAAATAATTCAGTGGTTTTTTTCTTTATTTTAATTTTTATTGAAGATTTTTTTTTGTTTTGTTTAAGGGAACTTGATCATGCAATGTTAAGACGTTTAGAAAAACGTGTTCTAGTAGATTTACCAACAAAAGAAGCTCGAAAAGCTATGTTTCAACAACTTTTACCACCAACTGTTATTCATGACAAAAATGGTCTTGTGTTATATTCTGATTTAGATTATGAACGATTAAGCAGCGTTCGTTTTATTAGAAAATTTATTTATATTTAAGAAATTTAATTATGTGTGTTTTTTTTTTCTTTTAATATTCTAGAACACAGAAGGTTATTCAGGTGCGGATATTAAACTTGTATGTAAAGAAGCAGCTATGAATCCATTAAGAAAAGTATTTCATATACTTGAAACTCTTCATGATGGTATGAAAATTTTTGTTGAATGTAATAAAAAGAAAAAAGTATATATATGATTTTAAATTCATTTTAGATGTTGAATTAGGTAAATGTATTCAACTTGATTCAATAACAACAGCTGATATTGAAAAAGTTTTATCAACAACAAAACCATCAGCACGAGCATTTAAAGATAAATATACACAATGGCAAAAAGAATTTGAATCTGTTTAAAGTGTTTTCTTTATATATATAATCAGTTTGTTTCTTTCGCTTGTGAAAAGTACAACATATCGTTGATAATAGGATATATTTTTTACGGAATGTATATATATATATATTTATTATTTTTTTGATCTTTTCAATAAATAAAATTGATTATGTCATTGATTACATTAAATTAATAAAATGATAAGTATGAACTTGTAATTTGATCTTCAATGTCTTGGGGAGATCAGTATGTGCACTGATCATACAAATTTTCTCCCTTTTGCTATGTCAATTAGAGAATATTGATTGTTTTTGTATATTATATACAAAATAAAAAAG